GTATGGTGTAAGGTAAGGGTCTACTTTCATTTTTTTGCATGTGGCTATCCAGTTTTCCCAACACCATTTGTTGAAGAGACTTTCTTTTCCCCATTGTACGTTCTTGGCTCCTTTGTCAAAGATTAGCTGACCATAGATGTGTGGGACACACACGTATTTTATATCAAAGTAGAAAACATCTGATTGTCATGAAGCCCCTCACTTGCAGGAGCAATTAGCAAAAAAGATCCCCTTCTTCATAGTTAGTGCTACTTCCAGCACTAACTTTCTTGGATGTCAGATGTGTGTGGACAAACCCATGAAAACAAAGGGAAGAAATGTTTGTTTTTCAGAATTTTACTTTGTAAGAAAGAATTGAAAATCTAAGTGATGTCTTTTGTGTTTGTTTTCCAGCACATAATTTACAACAGTCCTTGGTGTGCTCTGTATTAACTTTCCACAAGACCCTTGGCTCAGAGGACTACAGGGAATGGTCAGAAACCAACCATCGATTGCTATAAACCACAATTTTTCTTTCTTTTTTGTCTTTTGATCTACAAACTGCAAGACAATTGTTGAAACCTCATTTACATTTTATTTCGATAAAGTATCTGCAATCCTAAAGTTCTTTTTTTGTTACCTGATTAAAATGGAGGCTTTAGAGAGCCTCATATATCACACCTGTGTGTGCGCGCGCGTGCACGCACACACACACACACACACAGTTATTCATTAAGAACTCATGGGTGAGGGACTGAAGAATCTGAAAAGCCCTTGCTCCTTCCCATCTGTAGCCCGACCTTGATCCTCGCTCTGGAAAAGTGACTTTCCTCCCTCATCACCCCGTCTCCCCCAGGACTGTCTCTGATGTCCTCAGGCGCTGAGGTTCTGCTGGTTGGGTCCTGCTCAGGTTCCTGATCCACCACAGTCTTCATCTCCACTCTGAGCCCTGCGTGCCATGGCGAGGCTCCTCTCCTGGCTCTCTCTGTCCCTGACCCAAGGGTGCAGGGCCGGGAACAGAGCCAGCCAGGGAGGGGACTCGTGCAAAGCAGGGGTGAATCCTGTCTTGATTTTAAAATTTGATATATGACATTAATTTTTATTTTTAAAAATATTTTATTAAAATATTATGTACCCTAATTACTGAGATTTTTGGTGCCCCCTTAAACTGTGTGATGCCCCCTAGTCCTGTCCCTGCAAATGGCAATGTGGCCCATTCACTCATTCCCGCAATGACCCACAAAGCAATGAAGGTTGAGGGAAATATGTGTGTTCTGTAGGGATAAAGCAAAGCAAGCAAGATGTCATTGAACCTGAGCTCTCCCTACTTTATCAATGCCCACAATCCTGTCACCAATGATAAGTTTGTGCCACCCCTTCTGCTCACATCTCAACAGGACCCTCTTCCTTCCAGGGCTGTCCTCTCACCCAGGAAGACCCCTGACCGTTTCTCAGGACAATTCAGCTCCCACCAGGGCTGGCTCTTCCACCAGGCATAATACATTAGGCACACAATACCTTCAGTGTTCCACAAAAGCGTTATAATTTCTTTAAAAATATTAACCAAAAGTGACTATAATAATAATAAATATATACCAATGAACCAGTGTGAGGTATATTCATCTTTATACCAATGCAGTTGTAAGATATAATATTTAATATGTTTTTATGAAGAAGTGGCCAAAATTACCCAAGACTCACAAAAGTCACAATGAGGCCCTCCCCTCCCCTTCTCCAAAATGCCTCAGGATCCATGACGCCATTAGACCCAGGTAAATGGACCGTTTCCCGGGACCCACACCTTAGAATTCCCACATATTACACACACACACACACACACACACACACACACTATTATTTACTAAGAACTCATGGGCTATGCTCAGTTCTTGGTGCTATTGGTGCATCCCCACTGTGGAGGGAGGAGTTTCAGGCTCTCTGCTTCTCAGAAATGAAAACCTCAGTCCACCCTCTCTCTCTTGGACCCTGAGAGGAGAGGAAAAGGAAGAGATTTGGATTCAGGAACTGGAGATGGACAATAGGATATACAGAAGTTCACATCTGCTCAGAGATGGGCCCTGGCCCATGTGAGGAAGGATGTGGATATTTTCCCAGTGAGAAGTGGATGTTTTGAGGGAGCAGCAGAAGGCCCTGTAGTGGGGAGTCAGAAGGAGAAATAGGACTGCAGTCACTGAAATGCCCATTCTCTAGTAGACTGGTCACCAGCTTGGCAGGGAGGAAAGGCCTCAGGATGCTGAGCAACGGCAGCTCCAAGGAGATATCTTCCCAGGAGTGCAGAATTGGGTGTAAATCTCTACATCTGGCAGGCCCAGGAAGGCCCCTCCCCCTTCTCAGTCTTAGCACTTTGACCTCTTTGGCCTCTGTCTGCCTCAGGACATCACTGAGCTGCCCCAGGGGAGTGAGGGCACCTGTTTACATGGTCGTGTGTTTCCTGGGTGCACCACTCATCTGATGATATAGGTGGAGAGTGTCAGTCAGAGGGGGTTTCTGCCTGCATTACTTTTCAGAGTTGAAGTGAATGATGGTGGAATGTTTTGACAGAGCAACTGCCAGACTGTCAAGCAGACTGGAGTGCTGAAAGAAATATTGGAGATGGATGGAAAGAGAAGCAGCAGCTCCAGAACTCCCACACCAAGTGGCAGGCAGCTGAGGGCCCAAGAACAGGAGGTTGGCTCCCAAGGAAGAGCCCATAGCCAAATGTGTCAGATCCATGCAGTTGAAAAGGGACCCTAACACCACGTAGGGCAATGTAGGTGAATGGTCCTGAATCTGCCCAAGGAATGAACACTCCAGAAAAAGCGTTCAAAGTAGCTTAAGGTTGATGAGAAGGTATGAAAAGGGTCTTTGAGGCATGCGGTGCCCATTCCAGCACCTGCCTGAAGACCATTGGGGAACTCATCACTGTCCATTGGAGTGTTGGCTCAGTGGGAAGCACAGATGAGACACCAACTGGTCTAGAGGAAACTTCACAGATGACTTTTGACTTTCTCGGGGGAAAGCCCAACTTGGACAAGACCTAGAAGGAGAAAAAGTGAACATTCACCGCAATGCTCAGTGTCTTGGCTGATGGAGATTACCTCTGCACATTGTTTAGAGGAACATATGTCACATTGGGAATTCCCCAGTGGGATGAAAATTCCCTGTCACGGGTATGGATGGATCTGAGGATCTTAATCAAGACTGGATGAAGTGCTGTCGAGTCAGAGGTCTGGAGCAGTGCCTCAGCTCAAGGGACACTGGTGGTAAATGGATCCTGCACCCAGCACTGATTGTGTGAGGAGATCCATGGAGAGCAGGAACACTGACAAGGGTATCACTCCAGGGACTGACCCTTAGCTTCAGGTGTTGGTTGGTGGTCTATAGACCACTGAATGGGAGCGTGCAGGCCCAGGACTCTGACCAGCTGGAGTCATACAACCAATCTCAACAACATCAAAACAATTGAAATCATACAAAGTATGTTCTCTGGCTGTAGTGGAATCAAACTAAAAATCAGTAACAGAAAAAACTCTAATCACTTGGTAAAAAACACCACACTCCTAAAAAAATCAATGAATCATCAAATACTTTTAAAAATCATTTTTAAGTGTCTGTCTCCAGC